AAAAACAACTGCCCATCGAATGGTTTCAAAATCGTTTGCTTTCATTGTTATTGTGGTATCAATTATTACATTTATGTTCATTATAGTATTAGATATATTAAAATACTGTTTTAATGTTGATCCAATGCGTAAAGAATTACAAAAACTTAAGCAAAAGAAGAAAAAGAAAAAATGTCCTGTTATTGTAAAATATGTTTATATTGATGCACCATCAATACAACCTTCTGAAGTTCCATTTTTATCAGCAGAAGAGACAGCTATGTAATAGACTATCGTGGTCTAAAAAGAAAAAGAATATTAATTGGATAAATATTTTAAATTGAATGAATGAATTTCGATTGTTATTTTAAAGTTTGTTTAGTTTCGTATATATTATAATAGTGACATCGATTAAGAAAGGAAACGTATCTAACTATATATCAACACCCTTTGACATGTACTCTCCATAATATGATATCAACAGATATGGTCTGCAAAGTAAAAAATGGAATTTAAAAATCTCTCTTTTTCTTCAAATGAGATTATTTTGTCTACTCATACTTTATTATTGGTTGACAGATTTTCTTTATGTCAATAATCTTCGCGACAGGTTGTTATTATAACTAATATTACTAATTCTTAAACTGATGTAGAAAACTATATGTTTATTTTTGTATCACGTTCTTTTTACGTAGTAAAATATAAATACAAAATCTATTATCGAAATAATGCTATAATAAATAGTTTATTGACAACGAATCTACTCATATTTTTGGTAACAATACAACACATGCTTATAGCATCCAAATCCTTCCATGACATAATATTTAACTTGGAAATTCGTAAATAGTATTCATAGATCCCGTTTTTCACAAGCTTTCATCTAGTATAAAAATATATTAGCTCAGGAGTCGACTTTTGTTTTATTTTAAATGTGTGACCACATGTTAACCGTAATACGATGGGGATAGAGGTATATTATTTTGTTGATTAAAAGATGATGCTGGTCAAGCAACTACTTTATTGAATTGTCATGACATATTTTGATTTCATGTCGACGCAACAGAACTTCCGCTATCAATCATGAAGTAAAAGTAAATAAATTTTTTAAGTATTTCTACTATGAACCAAAGATAATTTACAGAATGCTGTATCTATAATTAAAATAATGTTATCTGTATGATATATCCTTTGTTTCACTTAACAATCTAAAAGAACAGATATTTAACTCTTTTATGATCGACCAAAATGAAACATCAAATAGTATCTTTCTATCGATTCATTCATTCATTTAAATAATATTTGGTTTCTAGGTATGGTCATAGGCTTTATTTTCTTTGAGTCAATAAACAGAAAGCATCTGTTTGATCTTATTATTTGTTTTTATTTTGCCGGGATCTCTCTTTCTTCTTAATATAGTATTTGGTATACTTTTCTATTCATCAATAATAATAATCAATAAAACTCACCTGATATAGTCAAATTAGTTTAAGAAAACAAAAAAACATATATTTTTTTCTTATGACTTTATTATTCATTGGTTTTTTCGGATGAATTTTTATATTGACTGTCTTTCGCACTGTTTAAACATAATATCGGAAAACAACTTGTTTTATTATTTCTATTTTTTCTTTTATTCAAAAATAAATAATTATTAGTTATTCTTTTAATAACTTGACATTCTTATTGTATCATTTCACAATAGAAAAGATGATTGTCATTAACATAGCAGTTCAATATTTAGCTCTATTTTTGACAATCAATCAATTAATGGGTAAATCTTTATTGATTTTCTTCTTATCAAATAATAAGATAATAACTAGAAAGTAGCAATAGATCGAGATGAAGATGGAACTCATACTGAGTAGATTTGCAGAGATTTTGACGATGTGAAAAGAACGAATATAAGACGATCAATATACTATATAGTTTGAACAGTTTAGTTATTAATTGTGATGAAAATCTATATCTATTTACGTTCGATAGAAAAGAATTATTTCAGATCAAACTGAGAAATCAATTGCACTCGATTCAAAATATATTGAGTATGCTAATTATTAATACACATATATGAGAAGAAAAGAAACTATCACATTCAAAGATTATAAAATTTCTTCGAAAATACTAAAAGTATCTGTTCCATTTAACGTATTGTATTTCAGGTGTACCATTTAATCAGCCTAAATTCTGTCCATCAACAAATTGGAATCCTAATGCTATAACTTTTGCTAATACCAGCATAGCTGGTGCATGTTCGAATGTTATTTTTATCAATAAGACCAACGGTATTTATATAACAGAAAACTGCAACAGTCAAGTTCAAGTATGGGTAGAAGGAAATATGACTCCAGTGAGAACTATGTCATTTGGTTTAAATCAACCACAAGGCCTCTTTGTTAGGACTAATGACAATGTCTTTATTGATAATGCTAGATATAATGGTCGAGTCGAAAAGTGGATGTTAAACAGCACGTTTGGTAGGATTGTTATGAATGTTACTGGACCGTGTTATAGTCTTTTCATTGATTTCAATAGTACTCTCTATTGCTCTATGGGTACTCAAAATATGGTTGTCAAAGTACCATTGAACAGTGGTGGAGTTGTACCAACCATTGCTGCCGGTACAGGAGGTGCTGGTTCTAGTGCAAGCATGCTTTCAAATCCTCACGGAATATTTGTCGACAATAATCTTACACTATATGTAGCAGATTGTAGCAACAATAGGATCCAAAGCTTTGCATTTAATCAAACTAACGGAACAACTATTGCAGGAACTGGAGCAAGTGGAACAATCAGTCTTACCTGTCCAACTGGAATCATGTTTGATGCTGATGAATATCTTTTTATTGTGGAATATGGTGGTAGTCGTATTATTGGATCAAGTTTTAACGGATTTCGATGTATCGCTGGCTGTAGAGGACCGGGAAGCTCACCCAGTCAGTTAAACACTCCATATAGCTTCAGTTTTGATTCTTATGGTAATATATTTGTTGCTGATCAGACCAATTGTCGAATACAAAAATTTCTCCTGTCTACAAATTCTTGTGGTAAGTATTATTATATTCTCTTGAAAATAAACCATCAAAAATAATAAGATAAGTTTTTTGTTGGTGTCTCACTTAATATATATGTGAAGGATAATTGTTTCACTGTAATTGTTAGAAAAACAACGTTTTAATTCCTACATATATGTGATAATTATTTAAATCGAACTTGAGAATGTTGTATAGAATTTTTCAGGAATATTTTAACGCTTTAATAGATCCTAAAATAAAGTATATTGTCACAATAACTAACAGTTTTCAATTGTCAGAAGATGCATACAATTTTATACTTATTGAATCGTATTATTAATTTATTGAATATAAGAAATAGCGTGAATTATATATTTGATTTCTGTTAATAATATTATTTATATAGCTGAAACAACGACTTCGCAAGCGACAACGATAACAACAACGATGAATATAAGTAATTCGAATAGGTATTTTTGATTATTTAACTTAAAACAATTGCTTATATAGTTCACAGTTCGAAAAAAATGATTCAACTGACTACTCCATCAAAATTCACTGATACTCTACCCATCACAACAAACTCTCATCAAAGTGGTATGTAAAAAGTTATATTTGATATATCTAAATATTATTCAAGAATCATGTCTTTCGCTAATTTATTTATATAGATAACATAACAACTATCCAGATAAATAATTCTGGTATCTACTCTTGAGTATTTAACTTGTTTAGTATAATTGTTTATATGTAGTAGAAACTTTGATCAATGACATTGAGTCAACAACTACTTCTTTTATACTCGATGATACAGAAATTTTTACAACAATATCTAATCAAAATGGTATGTAAATGTTTACTAAGGCATGAATACAGCTTTTTCTCATACTGATTTACTTTATTTGAAAAATCGAACTAGTTCACTATGCCAAATAACTCATTGGGGTTTACTGCTTAAGCATATGTTTGTCTCAAAAATAGTTTGACTAATGTAAGTGTTCCTTCGTCAACTGTTCCGATACTTTGTATATTAGCCAATGTTTATATCTATAATACCGTAGAGTCTAATGCAAAAATACAAGTTGATCATAATGAGTTTACGGTCTATATATATATAT